TGGTGCTGCCTTGGAGCTCTCGTGGGCCTGTCTCAAAACCGTCGTGGGCAGTCTTGGAGCCATCTTGAGGCTTTGGAAGGCCATCGGGCATGGAACGGCGAGACGCCAATGTAGAGACGATGCCCACACAAAGGGCTTGGGAAACCGCTTTTCTCCAACATGGCGGACGATGGAATAGGAATGAAATGGGGAGGGGGAGGAGGAGGAGGAGGAGGAGGAGGAGGAGGAGGAGGAGGAGGAGGACACGGACAGGGAAAAGAGGGAAGAGACTAGGAGGCCAACCAGGCGGCCAGAGGCCTCTTGGATGTATTTCATGAATCTCTTGGGATGGCATTTGGAAGTTGGCTTGGAGGTTTCTTTGGCCGTCGCTGGTGCCCCCGAGCGGATTTGTGAGCCTCTTAGGATGTCTTGTACGCTGGGAGCCTCTTGGGGCCCGCTCGTGGGTTTCTTGGGGCCCTCTCGGGAGCCTCTGGAGCTGCCCTGGGGGCCTCAGAAGCCCTCTCGGAACCATCTTGGAAGAGCTCGGCCGACGGAGGGAGGGTTCTTCAAGTGGCCTCCCCTCTCGGAAGCCCCCCCACATTGACAAAATGGCCTCGTGGGCCCCTCTTGAGCGCTCTTGGGCGCCCGTGGGGCCGTCATGGGGCGCTTTCGGGCCTCTCTTGGGGCCCTCGTGGGCCCTCTTGGGGCCAGGTTTGGGTCTTCGGAAGGCCCATCGAACGCAGACAGGCGCTAAGGCATACCTCATTGCGTTCCCTCAGGTTTTTGGTAGGAACTTGGCCTCTCGGAGGCCTCCGTGGAAGGCTCCGCGGCAATTTGGAGCCGTATTGGGACGGCTTTAGGGGCTTCTTGGAGCAATTTTTGAAAACCATGGCGAGCCAGCTTGGGCTATCTGGGGCCATTGTGGATGCCATATTTGGCTTTATGAGGCATTCTTGGGGCCATTTTCATACATCCTGTACGCTCCAACGCCTCGGGAAACCTCTACAGGTACAGGGGCGAGGGGTTTGGATAGTGATAACCCCCTCCAAAAAAAGGGGAAGGAGGGTGTTGGAAGAGAAGCCGCCCTAGACAACCTACGCCCAGAGGCCTGGTGGGGCTACACAGTAGCGCCCCCCCCAAAAAAAAGTTTCGCAAGCTGGCCCCAGAGAGCCCACGGTTGCCCAAGAAGATTCGAACGTGGTTTTCGATGGCCTCAAGAACCAAGAATTGCCTCAAGACTGTCGAAGGGGCTTTGTGGTGATCGTCCAAGATTGATACCCCATCTTTGAACGCCGACTGTCTGACACCCACGGGCGGCCCTTTAGAATTGTCCGTCCCGTTTCTTTGAAACTTCGATATTCCACGGTCGGCGCACTTCCGCGTGACGTGGGCATCCGCAAGTCTTTTTTTCGTCGCCGTGGAGGCAGCAGGAACACGAGGAGCAGGGTGAGGAAGAGAGCAAGACTACGAAGAGGAAAACGAGAACGAGGAGGAGGATGAGGAGGCTGAGGAGGAGGTTGTGAGGACGGACCAGGAGGAGAGGGAGGCTCGGTGGAGTCGTTCGCTCCTCCTTCATTCCTCGTCGCTGCTGGAACGCCGAGCAGGGTCGCACGTGAGGCTCGGCGAGCCTCATGCTGCACCAGACCTGCTTCACGCGTGCTGCACGTCTCGCCTGCCTCGCATGCGACGCATTCGGGTTCTAGCGGTTGTGCAACCAGAATCGAAAACAAGTCCCACATGAGGTCGGGGAAAGGGAGGACGCCGCTGTTGCACGCATTATTGGTATCGCTGTTTTGCTTGAGACTTCATCACAATTTCTGCACGAATCGCGTTCTCGCTGCAGTGTGGCTTCCATTCGTGATCCCAGTGGCCACGTGCCATTATTAATAATAGTCGTCATATTGTTACCGTCCCAGGTCACGAACGCGCTGGAGAAGCATTGGACTTTCACGTTTCTGCTTACGACGGGTCACGAGCACGTGTTTGCAGCGTCGCCAGGTCACGAAGTTGCAGTGCCATAGGATTCTGACCAGTTGAGTCATCCCAGCTCGCGGATGTGTGGCAGGGCCATGCGAGTGTGACCGCGCGAGGCTTCCCGGGACCCGAACCAAATCACGAACGCGCTGCGAGCCCGATGCTCACCGCAGGAGTCTTCCCAGGTCACCAACGCGTGGCAGGCCGATACGATTCCCACGAGTTGGACATTCCCAAAATGCGCACCCAAGTTACGAAATAGGCGCAAACAGCGACATCCCCCTAACACTCACCGCCCACCAAACCACCCCAACCCAACCCGAAGGCCTCGATTTGCCATCCATTTCCAGTGGGGGGGTCTGGGAACATTCGAAAAGCACATATGGAACCTGCACCCCCTCCAACCCGACATTCGGGTCTTCGGGTTGGGCTGGGGTGGTCTGGCTGGTACGTGGCCAAACACATCGTCGGCGCCGCAGACGTCCCAGGGGCCCGCCGGTACAGTCGTCGGGGCCCTGAAGAAGGAACCCTTTCCGTTGGGGAGGGGCTCCGCGTTCCTTGAGTGTTTCGCAGCTTGCCTCAGGTTTTCCTGATGTTCTCGATGGGAAATCGAAGTTCAACTTATGGAAAAAAGGGGCCTCGTTCCTTATTTAGGGCTCCTTGGGTCAACGCCCCGACTGTATGGTTTGTTCAAGCCGTGGCCCTGGGTGCAGAGTCCTTCCGCACGTGCTGGACGCGTTTCTGGTGGCCCCCGGGCTCGGCTGCCCGCGCCGTTCGCACATCGAGAAGGTGGGTTCCACAATCCTGAGGAGCAGGAGGAGGAGGAGGAGGAGAAGGAGGAGGGGGAGGAGGAGGAGGAGGAGGAGGAGGAGGAGGAGGAGGAGGAGGAGGAGGAGGAGGAGGAGGAGGAGGAGGAGGAGGAGGAGGAGGAGGAGGAGGAGGAGGAGGAGGAGGAGGAGGAGGAGGAGGAGGAGGGGGAGGAGGAGGAGGAGGAGGAGGAGGAGGAGGGGGAGGAGGAGGGGGAGGAGGAGGAGGGGGAGGAGCAGACGGAAGAGGAGGCGGTGGCGAAACAGCAGGGGGACGCGGTGGCGGAGGAGGAGAGGGAGGACGAGGAAGAGCTGGATCAGGACAGGGGGCCGGGGGAAGTGCGGGCCTACGCCGTGGGCAGAGGGAGGAGGCCGGCGTCGGGCTGCAAGCCTGTGGGCCGCAGGGCCGCCCCAGGCAGCACCCTCTCCCCTCGGACGCGCCGTGGGCCGGCTTGCCCGCTTCGGGGCTGGGCACTCGGGCTGCGGCCCAGGGCCCTGCGTGGCAGCATCGGGACGCGCCGTGGGCCGGCGCGTGCCGTCGGCAGGATGAGCGTGCGCGCGTGCGAAGGGCGGCTGTGAGCGTGCCTCGGGAGGGTCCAGCACCGTTCCGAGGCAGCAGCGCCGGTTTTTGGATGCCGAGGTGCCGAGTTGTGTTGTGCCGTGCTCGTTCTTCCAGCCTTCCCTGAACCTGACGAGAAGTAAGAGCCTAGAATTATTCAAATCCTGAAAGCCGCCCTTGAAGCGCCCCTATATGCGCGGCTATCTCTCAAACCCTCATTCCATGCGTGCCCGCACACGGATCGTGCCCTTCCCGCATGCCGCATGGCGGCTAATTCCTAAACCTTCATTCCATGCGTGCCCGCACACGGATGGTGCCCCCCCCCCCCGCATGGCGGTTAATTCCTAAACCTTCATTCCATGCGTGCCCGCACACGGATCGTGTTTCCTCCTGCAGGGCGGCGACCATGCGCGCCCGCACACGGATGGCACCCGCCCCGCATGGCGGCGAATTCCTGAACCTTCGTTCCATGCGTGCCCGCACACGGATCCCGCATGGCGGCTAATTCCTAAGCTTTCATTCCATGCGCGCCCGCACACGGATGGTGTCCGCCCCGCATGGCGGCGAATTGCTAACCCTCAGTCCATGCGTGCCCGCACACGGATCGGCGCCCTTCCCGCATGACGGCGACTTCCGCATTCCATGCGTGCCCGCGCACACGGATCGGCTCCCGCCCCGCAGGGCGGTGAATTCCTACCCCCCCTGCCATGCGCGCCCGCGCACGGATCGTGGCCCGCCCCGCATGGCGACTCATTCCTACTCTCCCCTCGCACGTACGCGGGACTCAGAGGACCCATGAGATTCCGGAGATTGATGAAAGCTTCGCGCGCGCGTGTTTCCCGTTCGGATCCACTCCGCCCACGTGTTGGCACGTGCGCGCCGTGGCGCGGGGCGGGCGCGCGTCGCCGTCGTCCTCGTCGTGTGATTGAGAGTCGACCCCTCGACGAATTGAGTTCGGTATGTCTAGGGTCATTCGGATGCAACTCCTGGGGGGTCAAATTTTGATTTTGCCCTGGTCCGAAGTCCGGCTTAATCCCGCTTAATCCCGCTCAATCCGGCTTAATCCCACTCAATCCCGCTTAATCCGGCTTAATCCGAGCCCATTCCGGCGTAACAGCCCCCTATTGGGGCTTAATCCTCTTTAATCCTTCCGACGAAAACCTCCCAGTAGTTGCCTCCTAAGGGTCATGGGTGGTTGGGATCCGTCCAGGAGGCTTCGAACTGAGCCAGTGGACCCCAGACCGTAAACTCTCCTTCCCCTGGCGGGGGGGTGGAGCATGACTGACAGCTCCGTGTGTGGCGACTGGCCCCGCAAGGAGCGAATGACGTGCGCCTGGTGTGGCACCCGGCCCAGGTGCGCGCAGCTTGCGTTCTTGCGCGTCAAGCCGTGGCATGCGAGGGTTTCAAGCCAACCTAAAAACACCGTCGGGGAGGGGGGGAGGGGGGGAGGCCGGCGAGGGGGGGCTCTCCCCCCTCGGGGCTCAGGAGACGGGGGTCGACGCAAACGGGGGTCAGCCAGCGCGCCGGAGCTTTCAGGACCCTGCAGAGCCAGGGGCGCACTGACCCGGCCTTGGGCGCAGGACCCTGCAGGATCCTGCAACGCCCGACAGGCCCAGGCAGGCACTGACCGGCGTCCGTGCGTCCCCGATCCCCTCACAGCCGCGCCGCCGCCCCTTCCGCAGGTCTGCCCCGGCTTCCTGATGGTGGGCACCGTCATGCGCTTCTGCCTGGCCGTGCGGGGCGCCTGCCCAGCGCCCGACAGTGACGTCGAGGCGCCGGGGCGCTTTCCCTCAGGGACCTTTTTGTTCCTGCCCCTCCTCGTCCTCCTCCTCCTCCTCCTCCTCTTCCTTTCCTCCTCCTCCTCCTCCTCCTCCTCCTCCTCCTCCTCCTCCTCCTCCCCCTCTTCCTCCTTCTCCTCCCCCTCACTTCTTATCCTTCCTCCGCCTGTTCGTGGCAATGTTGGCTCGAGTTGCGCAGCTGCTGGGGGACACAAGCGGGGACAAACTTTTTGGGAAAGCAAGGTGGTGATGTCCCGCCTCCAGTGGTTTCACCATTCAACGGCCCCGGGACTGCCGATAGATCTTCGTGGAAAAGCGCTTTGGGGGTGCTCGGGGAGGCAAAGTTTCTTACTGACAGCAATCGTGACAAGGAGCTCCACGAGCACATTGGGTCATTTCGTGGAGAAGCGAAAGGGCGAGTGTTTGACGGGGTGCCACTCGGCGTGCCTTCATTGGACGATCTCACAGAACAGCTTACTCGGGTTGCTGACCATTCCAAGCCAGGGCCAGGTGGAATCCTACGCGTTGTGTGGAGAAACGTGCGATACTGTATGAAGATGCGTTTGTACGAGCTTTTCGTTGATCGCTTCAAAGACATGTTTGGAGCTGGCTTGCGCAGATACTTGGGACTGCTTTGATTGCTGGGCATACCGCGAAAAAAGCCTTCGAATCAATTTAATCAGAGTGGAGCATTTTGGCCTTAGGCTTGAGGCGGCCATATTCATACATTGCGATTTCTACGGTCACCTGGACAAGCCGTAGTTTCATATCGGCCGCAACTTTCGCGGAGTACGAGCGCATGTCCCAAACCCAAGAAATTGACACATGCGTTGGCTCAGAGTTACGTTTGGACATGGAAGCCTCAGCCTGTGGAGATTACACTTGTAAATCTTTATTTTGGGATTGCGGAGGCCATGTGAGTGGGAACATAATCCAGGGAGCTGTGTTGAGCGATTGTTGTTACGATGGTTGTGTTCGGCGATGTCTTCGGCCTACTGTCCAGACGAGACACTGTAACAAAACGGCTTGTGACAAGGCGACGCGAGCGCGCGCCATGACCAGCGACACCTTCTGGGTAAGGACTCGGTGAGCTTGAAATTTGGCGCATGCGCATGGGCGGCCAGGCCAAGGGCTACAGCGATGCTTCTGGTACAGCTTTCTCAGTGGACATAACTTGTTGATTTAGGTCGTGACGTGGGAGCGCTTGCATCGACTATGACATGCGCCGTCGCCCGGACGAAGGCCAGCCAGCATCGCAATTTGGCAAGATTGCAGCACCGGGTCGAGTTCTGTAATTTCCTCATGCATGTGATCATGTTGGTGCGTGCTTATTTGAATGTATTGCGTGAGTTACACTATGGACAAGTTGCCGGGGAGATTCGTCGGGAGCGCGGCGCAATTTGGCGGGATGGACCTGAGGGGGGGACCGCGGCCAAGTGTGTAGACAGGGCAATGCAGATCGAGACCACGGGGTCAGCCGCGCCGGACTGCGATCTGGCCGCGAACGGATTCGAAAGGGTAGCGGTGGTCATCGCACCCGAAGGTGCACATGCGATTATGAAGATATTTGGGGGGTCAACCGCTGCCGAGAATTTCAGAGTCGCCCACGAAGAGCTCGACCTGCGGGGCGTCAGCGCTGACAGGATCGAGCGCGTCTTCAACTCGGCTCAACGTGCCGCGGCCGTTCCAATCCTGGAACCCCGTGCGCGGCAGTCTCGGCTCGCGCGCGCCCAGTTCAGTTTTGGCGTGCTCAGCCGTTGGAGAACGCCGCGCGCGTTGAAGTGCTCGAGGGTTTCTTGGCCAGCCGCCGATCTGGAGAAGCTGTCCGACTGCCCCCCCGCGCGCCTCGCCCTAGCCCCGTGGCCCCCCGGCGGCGCCCCCGCCGCTCCGATCTGGATCGCCCGCTGCCTTATTTTGAATTAAACAGGTTGTCGGCGACCTGGGATCGGTCGGGGACGCAGGAGACGGAGACGCGCTGGGTCCCCGACTCGCCGGCATGAAGTGCAGTCTCCCGACGCTGCAGCACGCGTGCGCTAGCGCGTGCTGGTTCCCTTGAATAACAAGATCGCGTGCTTTAGCAAGCATGCGCTGGCGGCCAATGCAGAGCGTTTCTCGCCGTGCCTGAGAATCTGGCCCCCTCAGGCGCGTGCAGATTTTCGACGTTAACAGAGTGCCTGGGGTCATCGGCGGCGGTGCGATCGATTCCTTTCTTGGCGGGTACGTCTTTGACCAGGGGTGATAGGGGTCGCGGCGAGACGCCCCCCCCCGAGAAATTGCTGCAGCAAGATGTCGGGCCCAGCGTCGGAAGGTCCGCGACACGTGGCAGGCCGGGCGGGAGCAAGGAAGGCAGTTGCAGATCGCCCAGGTCACGGACGCAGAGGGCAGCGCCATCGCTGGCAGCAGCGCGCGCGCCCGACTGTTTACCGACCGCTGGGGGGGGGAGGGGCGGGGCGATGGGGCGATGGGGCGGGCCCAGATGACATGCCAGGTGTTCCGCCAGGACATCGCCATTTCCGCGCGACGACGTGGATCGCGTCGCGAGCAGCGAGGCCAGGTTCCCGCGGATCACCCCCGAGGGTTTTGATTCGAGGGCATCTTGGACTGGGGGCGCCACGCCGCCCCAGGGCCCGATGGATTCCTTTTCGCTGCCCGGCAGCATGCTGACGAGAAGGGGCGCTCAGCGCTACCCTCGCCTGGTGGAGCCATTCGCAGTGCCGCTTGGTCTGACTGCATCTCCAGGAGTCGTTCTGCCATCGCGACTGCGACTTGGCTTTTGCAGGGGTCTATCCACTGCTAGATCGGATCGTTCCTGCGGGGCCTCTGATTGCCCAGACAGGAACTCTCAGGCAGCTGAGCTTGAACCTCTCTGAAGTGAGTTGGAAGCGCCATGGGGGCAAGCAGCTCCACGCGGCGTCGGAAAATCCAGTTCCGGAACGGGGCCGAACAGAAATGGCCAATGTGGTTATCTCAGCAGCGAGACCCAGGCCCATTTCCAAGGTGGCTAGCATGACTCCACGGGTGGGCGCCATTATCGCCGCGGACACTGACGAAATCTCGTTTCGTGAGACTCTTGCGTCTTCTGGCGCGGGCGAGAATATCTCGTTCGCAAGCGTCAAACGCATGTTGGTTGGATGCGCAAAACCAGAAGACGATTGCGCCAATGGGCGCGAGGGTTTGGTTGCGTTCGCAAGTGTTTGAGGATGTCGTCGATTGCCCCACCACCGTTCCTGCTTGGTGGTGCCAGGGCGCAATCCTCGATGCCTGTGTCATGGAATGGCGGGATCGACGCGGAGGCCGTGCGCGCTGGCATTTCTGGGCAGACGGTGCCTGTCGTCGTGGCCTCTTTCCGCAGTCACAATTTCGCGATGTCCAGCGATGATGACATTTTCATGCGCGCGCGCTAGCCTGGGCGCTGGGCCGACGGCGCCGGCGGTCGATCAGATGCGCCGGCGGGCCTGCGACCCGATTGCGCCAGGCATTGGGCCTGGCGGCTGGCGCGTGGACGTCGGGCCGCCCACGCGCCCCTCGCGCTGCTGGAGCAGAGGCCAGACGTGGTTACGGAGAATTGCTGGAAGGCACGCGGCGAGCGCGCGGGCCCTTTCGCGGGGTGGGGGGCCCGGCGGGCGTCGCTATTTTTCGCCAAGCTGGCAGCAGAAGGGGAACGCGGGCCAGGGGCAGGCGGAGCATCCCCAGGGGCGTTGCGTTGCCACTGCGCACGCGGGGATCCTGGCGTCGGGTATGTCACGCGTTGGACCTTCTGGGCTGGCGCCTCCTCCTCCTCCTCCTCCTCCTCCTCCTCCTCCTAGTCGGCTTAAGGGGTTAAGGGGGAGCGACCGACTTACCGAAAGCACCCATTTTACACCTTTACACGACTACGCCTCCCAACCGAGATGGCCAGGTGAGGGGGGGGCACCCGCGTACCACTCTGCTCCCATGCGCATTGCTGTGTACAACCCATTGTCAGCGGGGACAATCGAGAGACTTACAGACATCAGCTTGGAACTCAAACAGTGGGACATCATTATGATCAGCGGCAGTGCCGAATGGTGTGGACCAGAACCAGTAAAAAAAGCCTTACTCCCAAACCACTGGTGTTTACGATTTGGTGCACGCAAGGGAAGATTTATCACGAAAGCTTGGGATTACGATCCTAGTTAGCAGGCTGATCCCGCAGACCAGCCTCAGAGCTATCTATCATCCACCAACGCAGCTCCAGGGACGAGTAGCAGGCATTAAATTGCACACCCCAGGGCAAGACTACGCATTCTTCCCAGTTTACTACGCCCCCACCCACCTCAAGAACTATGTTGAGATTGGCAAGCGCGTGACGAACTGGATAGAGCACACCGCGGACGCGCTAGGAGTCAGGACAATGATAGTGGTAGGAGGGGACCTCAACAGTGACATGGGACTGCACCGCGACTCGGACGGCATAGCGCAGGCGAGTATGGACAGCTGTGTCGGGGGGATCGAGCGAAGGCTGGAAAACGAAAACGGGAGAATGTTCAGAGAACTCTGCACTAGCAGCACATTTTCAGTAGTTACCACTAGGTACGACATAGGGCCCACCTACTACGGCACGCAAGGGGGGAACTCGCGAATCGACCATATAGCGATCCCAGCAGGAGCCCTGCACCTTGTCAAGCGTTGTTTGGCCCTCCACACGGCAGGGAAGCGCCTGCAGACCATCAGGTCCCGAGGGCTACGAGACCACGTACCAGTCGGACTCATCCTTGACCCGAACATGAGGCACTTCGCACGAGCGCGGCCACCGCCACGACTACGCTTGGACAGGGATGCACTTATGGCATGCGTGAGGAAGGGCAGGAAGAGAGAGGAGTGGCTACGAGCAGTAGATCAAGAGCTAGGTGCACTAAGTACGGAGGACTGGGAGGAAGCAATAGCAGCACCGACGCCCGACCGCTCTTGGCACCTCTACTCCACAGCAGTCAGGACAGCACTAGGACAAACCTTTGGGCAGACACAACAACAGC